CGAGACTCCAAATTTCTGAGGACATGACACTTGATAGGAAGATGTGGAGGTCGAGTATTAGAGTTGTAGGTTAGGATGTAGTTGAGTCTTGACTTACTTCGTACCATTGTGGGACTAGCCACGTAGGGTTTTTGTCTAGGGTAGCTAGTGACAATGTTGTATTTTACTACTTCGCTTTTTAGTGCATATCATATTTACTAGCTATCATCTTTGCTTTGCATCTTTCTTTTGCATTTCATGGTGTTCCTATTTTTTCTATAATTGTTGTGGTGATACTAATGTNGGTTTTTGTCTAGGGTAGCTAGTGACAATGTTGTGTTTTACTACTTCGCTTTTCAGTGCATGTCCTATTTACTAGCTATCGTTTTTGCTTTGCATCTTTCTTTTGCATTTCATGGTGTTCCTATTTTTTCTATAATTGTTGTGGTGATACTAATGTTGTCTCCTCTTGTCATTTTGTCTTTGTGTCTTCTTGAGCCGAGGGTCTTTCGGAAACAGCCTCTCTACTCCTTTGGGGTAGGGGTAAGGTCTGCGTACACACTACCCTCCCCAGACCCCATTAGTGGGATTCTACTGGGTTGTTGTTGTTGTTATTTATGTTAGGTGGTTAATTCAAATATTATTTGGAATAAGTTAAATTTTGAGATGAATCAAAGAAAATTACGTTTATTGTATTATTTCTTTTGTCCACTACGTCCTTTGCTTTAACTTATTGTTTTTGCTAGAAGATCATGGACAATTTTTTTCACATTAGTTCTAGTTAAAATTTACAAATATAATTATGATAAAATAATTTCAAATATACTCATGTATGACATGATAATTATTAGAAATGAAATAAACTTTCTCACTATTAAACACATAATATTAGAATACAATCATATAGTTTATTATATATTTCATGTCATATTATAGCTAGAGGATTTTTATTTACAGTCGCGTTTTTTGTTATTCCTTTATTTTGTAAGAAAAACCAACGAGTATGTTCATATTAGCATACAACAAAAAAATGAAAAGAATAGCTTGATGACTTTTCAAGATTTTAATAAAAAATTCAGTTACGAAAAGATACCTCCGATTAAGAAATGCAGATTCTAGTAAAATAGCTAAGGAAAACATGTATACCTATTTTCTATTTCCGCATAATAAATATTCATATAGTTTTTAGTATTTCATCAACTGCGGCCAATCTGATTTATGCAAATATTTAGTAAAAATGTGTAAAAAAGATGTATAAATGTATTATATTTTTATATAATAAAAATTTAGTTAATAGTCATATTTATAAGATATACCTAGATTTTCCTAAGTATGAAATTAGTGTGGTAGAAATGCCTTTTTCGTTTTTTTTAAAAATAGTTTTCTTATAAAAGCTGTTGACAGCTAAGTTTAGAGACAGCTGGTCGGTGACCCAAATAAAAAATTGCTAATTACAAGACGAGTCTAATGTTTTATTCTTTGTATTTTGAGAATGTTACACGCACTTCTGTAATCTTAAAGATGCTTACCGACTTTAACATCTCTCTTTCCTTTATTAATGATTACTTTATTGTATTTTTTCGGTGTTATAGAAAAATCTGCCTTTCTTCACGTTACAATGTTTCACAAAAGAAAAAGAAAAAAAAAACTGATTTTTCCTCTCTTACCAATTCAATTTTATTTTAATAATCACATGGGGTATGGTAACCCTCCTCCTTTATCTGTGCTTAGGACTGTTAATGTGAGTTTGGCGGAGTTGATACAAGACATATATATGTAGAATATTTTAGAAAACAAAGCATTAATTAAGTTCAACTAAAGATGTAATCAATGATAAATGGTATTGTTGCAGTTACAATGGCATGGGGACGCTGGATCTGTTTTGATAAATGGAACAGAGTATCCTCTACAGCAAGCTCACTGGCACTCTCCTTCAGAGCATACTGTTAATGGCAGAAAGTAGGAGAATATATTCCTTTATTTTTCTGTCCCTCTACTTTGTCAGCTTTACGCTAAGCATCCTTATAAAAATTGGATAAGTTTAATTCCTATTTTATTAATATAATGTTATATATTTTGGGACAGGTATGCCATGGAAATGCATATGGTTCACTTAAACGAAAATGCGACAAATAAGATAGCTGTGATTGGAGTCCTCTACAAGTTTGGCAAACCCGACAAATTTCTCTCTAAGGTAAAGCTCCTCTGTATATATAATATTATAATACTCCACATTTTAGTTTTCATATATTTTAGTTTGACTGAAAACACTAAGTTTACCCTATGGTCTTAAACTAAAGATATATATAGTGAACCAAAATGTTTTGAATCTTACGGTCTTAAACTTGTCATCTAGTATGTTAGAAGAAAAATGATATTTTTTTGAAACAGATTGAAAATAAAGAAGGTAAGACAAATAAATTGCAACACAGAGTATGTCTTAAGATATAAATTTGTATAAGTCCATACTCTTAAGTGACAAAGATGTAGTGAATGCATAGATATTCAACATTATCAGTTTTAAATTCCGATTCTCCTTGTTGTGCTTACTCATCACAGGAAATTCTTTAGATTTTGGTAAAAGACAGATTTTCTCCTCTGATTGAGCCCCTCTATTACTGATCAGTACTAGTTGAAAATGATATTTAAACAACTTATTGAATGAAAGCAGAAACGGAGGGAGGAAAGCAGTTTTCGCAGGGTTAACATATCTATACTTGTCGATGGTTGACATTGGATATATGTTTTACTTCAAGTGGAAGAATAAATTATACTTACTAACTCTTTCTTGTAACCACTAATCAAATTATTCAGGAAGTTAAGAGAGGAAATCAGTTCTTGGATTCTTGCATAGTTAATATATCTAAACTAGTCAATGTTAACATTGGATATTTTTACTCAAGTGGAAGAGTAGATTAAACATACCAAATCTTTCACGTAACTACTAATCAAATTATTTAACATAAACGTACCTACTCTTTCTTGCATGCAGTTATCAAAATTTTTAACCTAACCCCAATTTAACTTCTCACTTTTTGAAAGCTGAAAGTGTGCTATTTTCTAACGCAAGTGGTACCATTAATTTTGTTGGCAGTTGATAAGAAATATATCATCTATGATTGACAAAAAGGACGAAGTGAAAAATGCGGGCATGATTAATCCCAGAGAAATCAAGATTGGTAGCAGAAAATATTATAGATATGTGGGTTCACTCACAGTTCCTCCTTGCACTGAAGGAGTCATTTGGTCTATCAAAAAGAAGGTAGCAACTTGACACACTAATTAAGTCCTCATTTACTAACGTATTATTCAGATCAAGATAAATTATTTGATATATACTGCAACTTGAATCAAAATTAGGTACGGACTATTTCAAGAGATCAAGTTAAATTGCTTAGAGAAGCCGTTCATGATGTAAGTTTCCTTATCTCCACAAAGAGTTGTGTTAGGTATATGACGGAAGTCATTTACTATGAATAATATTAATTTTCTACTAGTATATATTAATTAAAGACTATTAATAAATGAGATAGTGTTTCAATAAAATATTTGAGTATTAAAGGTTGATGGATTGAGTAAGCCACATGAAATTAAACATTATGGTAATTGTAATGAAAATGACGTCCGTCCATTCATGAGATTAGAAGTCCATTTCCCCTTTCTCTGGTAACCAAATGCCAACGACTTCCTCGTAGAAAATATTTTTCGAGAGAATGACTTTCGTCAACCATCGCAAGTGTCTATATTTTATATGTTTTTGAAAAATTCTCAGGAAACCCCCAACCCCTACCTTTCGGGTGTGTACTGAGTAACATAATCACTGTGCAATGGCTTGCAAATCATACATGAGATGTAAACCGCACTAGGCAAACCTGATGCGACGGGTTCTAACTGAGGAGGCGGTCGGTGATTGATTTCAGGTCTCCCATGTGGGAAATTACTCACCCAAACCAACTCAGCCAACCCTTGCGGGCCACTAAGTGTCTATATTCGTGGAAATAACACGGGCTAGCCAATTTTCGGACTGGTAATTGAAAAATAGCCAGCATTTGCAAAGTCATTGAAAAGTAACCACTATTTTGCTGCAACATGGAAAGTTACAGCATAATATACTGGATATTGGTGAACCTGTGTATGAACTTCCAGCATATTATGCTGAAACTCCAATACACGGAAAGTTCCAATATAATATACTAGATATTTGAACACTTGTGTATAAACTTCCAGCATATTATGCTGGACCAGTATATTATACTAGTACTCCAGCATTTTATGTTGGAACTCCAGTATATTATACTGGAATATTTTTCGGATTTTGAACAGTGTTTTCGTTCAAATTTATCTTTACATGAAAAGTAGCTAAATTTCGATTAATTTTTAAATTGTGGCTATTTTTCAATTACCATTTGTAAATCTTGCTATTTTTTAATTTCACCCTCTATATTTTCCTATCTGCACTGAGTTTCTTTCATTGTTAATATTGGATAGGTAGAGTCTTTCGCTTGTACGCTTGGATTTTTGATACTATAATCTACTTTTGATTGCAGTATGCTGCAAGTAACGCAAGGCCAATGCAACCGCTAAACAAGAGACCGGTCTATCTTATGGCACCGGGAGCTACTGTTTGAGATCATTATTCTTTAATTTCGTATTTGAAGTAACAAAGATGGCTGTTAACGTTAAATTCTCTTTATTGTTCTTATTTTGGCTAAAGCAAAAAACTTGCTACATATGATTTGTTCTGAATCTTTTGTCAAGGCAAAGTGCTTGCTGGAAAGAAACCCAAGAGAAATGCATAATAGAAATTCTTTTCCTTTTTCTTTTTGGCAACATTGAGATTGGAATCTAAGACTACATGGTTCTACTTCCACTTTATACATCACTAAGCTATAACAGACGGATATTTTAATAAATAATAAGCTTGATAAAGTTAAATAAGCACATCTTTGGTGAACCCTATCTACTGATAATGGCAATCAGAAAAGGAAAAAAACGTGGTGTCCCTAAAGCATAAGGAACACAAAAGCAATAAAATTTGCAATTTAGGATGAAAATAAGAAAAGATCTAATTATTTAAAAATGGCTGAAGGATTTTTGGTTAGACTAGCTCACTAACAAGCCTTAGACTATTTGGTCTTCTTTCTAATTCTAGACTAGAATTGAACCTAATCCCAGGGTATTGTTGGGCCAATGAACCAAACCATCCCAATTTTCAATACACTTCGGTTTCCCAATTTATTTGGGATTTAAGCGTAGTTATTGTTGTTGTACAGGATAAAGCCAAAAGATCCACAGTCCACAGCTAAATCAACAACCTCCAAATGATGTTGCCTTAAACTTGCCTTGAACATTGATACAACGATCGGTGGTTGACATTTGACAACAGCAACAGGAAACAGAATGCAACTCTTAGGTCTCCATTTAATTTAAGAACCTTAAACCTCAGCTAACCATTTCTTCAATGCTAGATGAGCATGAACCGGGGCCTCCTCTCGTCTGCCTTGTGTTATTGGACTTACAGTTAGGGCACTTACGTGCGACAATATGGAAGTTAACCTCTGATGTTTTCCCACAATCACTGCAAAGAATCAAAACCTGAACAATTGAAACAGAAATTCAAATGTAAAATAAGAGTATCATACTTGAATAAAATCACAAAGGTAGATATGACTTTCTCTCACCATCTTATTTTGATACATTTCAGGCATAGGTGTTGATGCAACCTAGAAGTAGAATATAGATGAAGTTAATCAGTGTGAAGAAGATATTTGAAAATAATTTTAATCATGTTGTCATATGCGTACCTCCTGGTCTAGTTTTTCCCAAACACGAGACATATCATAATATGATCATAAGCAAACAGAACAAGAATATATACCTGCGTCCCCACATTGTTAAAACGACGGGATTTGAAGGGGGGCAGGTTTAGGAATCAGTATCTTTCAGTAGACTTACAACATAAGAACAACAATAACTGAAAGCTTATTGGAAATGCTGTTCCATTTGCATCACACATTCCAGATGCATTGTGTGTCCACAAGGCAAGACAGTAATGTTCTTTGTAGTGTCAAAAATATACTGCACAAAGTGATACCAGCAATAAATAAATAAATTGCCATTTCAATTACACCTTCTAAAATTTCGTTTTTCCTCAAATTTAGCGCTTGCCTCAAAGCGAACAGGGCAATTATGGTGCATTGCTCTTTCTACACAAATATGTGATTCCTTCATCAGATTTGAATAACAGCACTCTAAAAGCAGGAAAAAGGAAAGGTTAACAGATTTTCTGTTTCTGTAACTAATCAACTAAACAAAAAACTGATGGTCGTAGGAGCTTTTGTTGCAGAATAGTATTTCATCCATAAGAGTAAAGCATCTCACTCACCGCATCTGTTGCAGTGAAAGAAATTATTGTTGCCACCAGTTATGCATTTAAGCATTTTGAGCAGGAAATGAAAAAAAAAAAGGAAAATATTAGACACGATATAACACACTTCAAACGTAAAATGGATGATGAGCATGTTAAGTAATATGTCCTAATTTTCACTCCAATACTATCCATGATCAACCACAGCCCACAAGTAAATTCTAATGAACGAGATGAAGCATTTATGGAGAATTAACCAACAAGTGTTTTTCCATTTCATACTAAAAATGGTCGGCAGGAGAGATTTCAGATAAAATGTTTTATGACTAGGTCAATGTCTCAGATATCGTTGACTTTGTGTTCAAATGAACGGAAATGTTTAGGAAAATGTATCAAAGAACTGAAAGTTTAGAGCAATATTAGTAAGACATGAACCTGCAGATTCCACATTTATCACAGTGGTATTGATCCTTGGAAACCTAAAAATAGAAATTAGCAAGATTAAGAATACGACATACAGTGAACCAAGAACGTTTGAGTAGAATGATCTTCAGAAACTTACATCATCATCAAAGAAGTTGCATTTTGAGCAATAGTACTTCCCCATACAAACCCCACAATTAACACATATTTGTTGAACCTAAAGCGCAATCAGGGTTAAAAACCAGTTTTAACCATGCTGCAACAAACATAAATATATAATGACCTGAATAAGTTATTAACTTCCAGAAAACTCACATCTTGTTCTGTGTTACATAATGAGCAAATGACCTGGAAAAAAAATCATATGGAGCTTAATTGTTGAAATAGTCGACAAAGTAGGAATGAAAAACAAGAAAATATAACAAACACACATTCATTCTCACATCAAAAGAAATTTAACTAACATGGCAGAGGAAACTTAAACTGACACAGATGAAACAGAATGGTTCCTCATTCAACTCTTTCTAGTTTATTAGAAACGAGTATGATGAATTAATGATGTTTTTTTATCTTTTTAGTTGTTTCGCAGGATCGGTCACTCAAGACTTTTGGTCTTTATTCAGACCCGATAAAAAATGGGATCACTTCTTGCGGACTTGCTGAGAAAGATTCATGTTGGGCTCAACCAACGCAAAGATACTCTTAATATGGTGTGATATTGTCCGCTTTGGGCCAAGCTCGCACGGTTTTCCCAAAAGGCCTCACACCATTAATAGATCCCTACACTGTACATGTAGGTTCCCAATTTTTTGGCTACCAATGCAGAACTTTGTACGTACACCAATAATTCTGATCTAGTTCATGGCTGACTAGAAGTAGAACGCAACTACTCTGGTGGTATTAGTTAAATATGGTTCTGAAAAACCATCGCTCAATAAATCCAAGGCATTGATCGCATACTCCTTATTTCACCTACTGCATTCTCAATTTGGCGAAATTTCAATTAGCCATAATGGGGAGTTTCCAAGTACATGACCAAATACTTATTACTTCTTCAGTTGTAATTTCTATCTTATTACGTTCAGCCACTATAGCTTTCATAGGAAATGTAATAAAGAGATGAAACAAACATAAAGAAAATAGTTAGTAACATCCCTATTTACATAAAATAATCATCTGGTGACGAATTAAATAGTGTATCCACGTCAAAAAGTAGCAATTATCCATATATAACTAAAGATAACAAATACGAGAAACTCAGCAGGCTAATATTAGTAGTTCCACAAGTATGAAACTAGAAGGAGAGCCTGGGAGCAACGGTAAAGTTGTCTCCGTATGCCATGTAGGTCATGAGTTCGTGCCGTAAAATTAGCCACCGATGTTTGCATTAGGGTAGGTTGATCACAACCCATAAACGCGAGATGCTTCGTGCACCGGGCTGCACATTAAGTACGTAACTACAAAGATCAGAACCTTCACCTTCATACAAATTGAATCTTTATAGAGCAGGAAAAAGGTGGCATAAAAACTACTAACCCTTTTTATATCATGGCGAGGAACATCGTGCCGTTTGAGTGGATCAACTTCCAACGAATTCTGCTCAAATTTGAAAGGATAAAAAAAGCTTATAGCTGATTACAATTTACAACAGAAGATATAAAAACCAACTCTCTTTTTTTCTTTTTCTTTTTTTGGTGAAAAGGAAAAAAGTTTAGACCTTTGAATCATTGTGGCAGTGCCTGCAATCGAATATCTCATCACAACAAGGTGCTCTAATTTTGCATCTCCTTCTATAATGCGAGCATCTAAAGAGAAAAGAGAAGTTAAAAAATAATAAAACATAAACTCGAATTTATTTTAGATATTAAAATAATCGAGCATGAAAAAATACCCGAAATTCCCAGAAGCCATTTCTGTCATAGATTCATCAACAGCCAATGAATGTGAAATTCCTTGTTCGTGAGAACCAGTTTCCATTTTCTTCACCAACTAATATTAAAATCAAAATAATTTAAAAAGAAAAGATATATATAAATAAGCTCTTTGTTAGAAATACAAATATAGGCATAAAAGAAAAGTTTGAAAATGGATCAAAATCAGACCTTTAACAGATTAAACGATTAAGGGTAAAAGATTACGCTAAAATTGAGTGGCTTTTGGTTGATAACATGAAGGTTTCTTGCAAGAACCTTGATAATCCCAAAGGCCAACCCCATAGTACTGATGACGAGGCGACACGCCAGAGTTTGGCGGATCTAAAGTTACTCAAACCATCTTTCCTTTTTCTCTATGCTAATAAAATAATCCCTCTGTCTTATTTCTCTTTTACTAGTAAAAATTACTATTAATTAGGAAAGAGATTAGATTATTCTTTCCTTATTTATATCTTAAGATATATTCTCTCTTTATTGAATATTTATTATATTTATATGTTATCTCCATCTTCAAGAACAATTATTACTAAGAGTAAAAAAGAAAATAAACAATCAATTTTGTCTTAAACTTTTAAAATAACAAATAATTTGAGACAACTATTTTTAATAATCACAACTGTTAATATGAGACACATGGAGTAGTAAATACACAACAAGAATGGAAAAAAACTTTTGCATTTCTTCGGTTTAGCCCTTATTTGAACTCGAGAGTTCTAGTTAAAGTATCTCCTCTAAATTCCTTCAAAAGTAAAAACTACTATTACTAGCAGGGTGCATCTAGTGATTTAATAAAAGGTTTAATTAAACTCATAATTTTTGATACGGAATATAAAATAATATATAACAAATTATTAAAATTATAAAGATAGTAGATATGAACTCATAACATTAAAAATGTAATAGGTTCAATACTAAAAAAATAAAAACCTTAAAATATGAACCCATAAAATATAAATTCTGATTTGGCACTCACCACCAGTATAATTCGTCCAATTTGATATAAATGTAGATATTTACCTAATTAGAACTACAATGAATAATATAAATAACAATTTAAACCGTTAATATGTTTTGAAATACAAAAAATTATGTTAAAAATAATTTGACTCTTCAAATAAGCCAAATTTTGATTAGACTTCTCTTTTTTCTCTCATGATCATTGTTGCCAGACTTTTGAATAAATTTTATTTGGTTGAATACAAAGTTTAAAAAGAAATAAAAATATTTAACACTTATGATCTTAAACATCTCTATCTCTTGTTGGCACTAGAATACTTTCAGGGAAAATATTAATAGTCATTAGATGTTCATACAGAATCAATTAATTTAATACTCTCTTATCCATCTGTGATCCTATTTGACTTGGATATGAAGTTTAAAAATAAAAATGATTTTTTTAAAAATTTATGATCTTAACTAAATATACCATAATAGTTGTGTAGTAATAAAATTTTTGAACGCTATAATAATTGTATGGCTTGAAAACCTGTCATTACGGTTTAAATGAGCAGTAACATAAATTATTTTTAACTATAAAAATGATCATTCTTATTTGGAACCAACTAGATATGAAATTTCACATAAACTAAGATGGAATGAGTATTAGTAATCATAAATTATATTCCCTCCATTTCAAAAAGAATAGATTTATTTTCTTTTTAGTCCGTTTAAAAAAGAATAACTTCTTTCTAAATTTGAAAGCAATATAACTTTAAACATAATATTTTATCCTAATAATATCACGCCCCAAACTTGGGCCTGGACATAACACGGCACTCGGTGCTTGACTACATGCGACCGAGCGAATCAACTGGATGACTGAATCAACATGTGATATCATAACATACTGAATGCAGAAGATAAACTAACACATGCTGATATACTGAAAGTCTAGATGATATATATCAAAGTACGGAAATACTAATACAATTCTAAAACATATTTATAGCCAACATAGCTTAACATGAAAAGCCTGCGACTCTGTCTATGAAGCCTCTAATGAAGTACTGAAAACACTAAATGTCTAAAAATACTGAAGACTGTGTGTAAGGTAATGATAATGCCCCGAAAGAACTGGGATCACCAAATAGCTGGTACGAGAATCCTAGCGCTCTGAATTGTCAACCTGTAAATCATTACCTGCATCGTGAGATGCAAGCCCGGGCAAAAAAAGGACACCAGTACATTTGAATTGCACTGGTATGTAAATCAAGTGAAAGAAAGAACTGTAAATGTTGAAACTGAAATTGAGCTGATAATAAAGAACAAATAACTAACTGGAATGATAATTGCTGAAATTGAAACTGCATAGATAACTCATAACGGAATTGATAATTGATAACTCATAACTGAACAAAGGAAGTAAGGATATGAATACTGCCTCTTCTGAATGATGGACAACATGTTTATCTAAATAAATAAACTGTGGCCACAGGCCCAATATATATATGTGCACAAACTGCGGCCCCGGGCCCAAGTATATGTATACATAACTGCGACATCAGGCCCAAAGATGCACAAAGCATTAACTGTGGCCTCAGGCCCAAACATGCATAAAGCATAAACTGCGGCCTCAGGTCCAAACATACATAAAGCATAAATGGCGGCCTCAGGCCCAATTACAGGTGTTCAACATTCAGGGATTTAAATTCTGGAGCTGAANATATATATATATATATATATATATATATATATATGTGTGTGTGTGTGTGCACAAACTGCGACCTCGGGCCCAAGTATACGTAGACATAACTGTGGCCTCAGGCCCAAACATGCATAAAGCATAAACTGCGGCCTCAGGTTCAAACATGCATAAAGCATAAATGGCGGCCTCAGGCCCAATTACAGGNAAACATACATAAAGCATAAATGGCGGCCTCAGGCCCAATTACAGGTGTTCAACATTCAGGGATTTAAATTCTGGAGCTGAAATCATACTGTAATATGTGATGTTGAAATACTTAATCATATTGAGTTACATGATACTGGAATACTGAATAGGACTAGACCGAGACATATATTCTTGAACTGATTATGAAAACTTAAACTTCAATTGTTTATGACATGCTGAGTAATCTAGACTGAGACTCATGAGCATCAAACCCAAGTCTATATTGATTACACACTAAGCTCACAATGTTCAAAATGAAAGTCATGAACGGGTTACGAAGCTAGAGAATAGAAGTTCTGCAACTATTCAAGGAACTAGGCTTTATTATATTTCTGAGGCAATTAGTAACATCGTAAAAGAAACGTAGTGTAGGGAGACTCATTAAAATTTCCTAACATAGAGAGTTAGCCTCACATATCTTAACTTCTTGCTCTTGAGAATAATACAACATTCGCCAACCCTTTCAACTTTAATCTATATCAATACAAGTCAAAGGGATTCCATATTACCAATAATACTCATGTTTTGGTCACTTAGGCATTTTATCAAATATTTGGTGGGTATAAAGTTTCATAACCCTCATTAATGTTGTTTTTACACCAAACACCTCATTCTCTTACTCCTAGATAAATTCTAAAACCTCAATTTGTTAGAATCAATATCATTGTTCATCACCCATAAGATAAACAACACCCTTAATCAATAATCAACAACCAACAATCCAAATCCATAACCGCTCATATTTTTCTATCAAACCCATCAACTCATATCTCATGAACTTAGAGTCCATAATCAATAATCCAATGTTATAATCAATTAGAGGGTGAAGACATTACCTTTTTGAAGTTCAATCCTCTTGAATTCGAGTTCTAGGGTTTTTTTTCTCAACCATGATGTCCCAATCGAATATCTAATGATTTGGAGATTTTACCCATGTTAATAAGGTGTTGGGGAATTGAAATTAACTTAGAATCACCATTAGAACTTACCTTGGATGATGGAGGGACCTTTGAGGAGTTAGGTTCTTGAGAGCTTCCCTTTCTAGAGCAAGTGTTTTGTGTTTTGGGGTGTGGGGGATGAAGTATGGCTTTAAAAAAGACCCCCGGGTGCGCTCCCGCGCACTTGAAGGCCCAACTGCACACCTAACGTGCAGAAAGGCAGTAACACTGCCACAAGTGCGCGGCCGCACACGGAACCATCCGGGCGCGCACCTAGCATGCATATTGCTCATTGCTCTGTAAAACGCACATAACATTTTTCACAAAGATCCGTTCGAGATCCACAATATATAGTTGAAAAGATATTTCAAAGGGTTACAACTTTCGTGTTTTGCATTTTCCCAAATTCCTTACACATTTTCACTACATCCTGCTGCAAGACAAACCTTTTGTAAACTTAGTCGATTTATCAAATCTTATGCACCTCACTCTCCGTCTTGATTCCAAAATAACTATTTTCACCTATACTCATCCCGCTAGGACTTCATATGTCTAAAATATAAAATTAATTCCCATTTAACATATCCACCTAGTCCGAATGTACGGGGTGTTACATTATCTCCCCCATGGGATCATTCGTCCTTGAATGATTGTCCTGATGGAAACTATGACTAACTCTGGACCTTAAACGGGTCTGATGGAAACATTTAAACACTGGAATTTCATGAACACTTGTATACTAAACTGAATGAATACATAATTACTGAACTGTTTAGATACTGAACTGAATGACTATTGCATTGAGTGAATACTGGTCTGCCATGGATACCTGAATACTGAACTAACAAGGATATATGAATATTGAACTGGCACGAATATTTGAGTACTGAATTGACGTCAATTTCTGAGTACTAAGCTGGCATGAATATCTGAGTACTGGACTGACATGAGTATCTGAGTATTGAACTGATATGAGTAAATGAGTACTGAATTTACATGAGTATCTGAGTACTAGAAACTTGAATGTCATAACATGATATGTGAAATACTGGTTGTATGGGCGTAAATTCTAGTGGCAACTCTAACTCATAAGCTAATTGGCTTATCCTTCGTAGGATCCTATACGGCCAGATGTATCTGGAACTGAGCTTTCCTTCCTTCCCAAATGTTATAACACCTTACATAGGCAAAACTTTCAGAAACTCCCAATCATCAACTTGAAAATCTAGGTCTCTATGTAGCACGTCCGAATATATAGGACTTTTGGTGGCTCTGAGCTGTTTTCAAACGCTCTTGAATCAACTTGACTTTCTCTATAGCCTGATGGACCAAATCTGGTCCCAACAACTCTGCTTCGCCAACTTTGAACCAACCAATTGGCGATCTACACCTTCACCCATACAGAGCTTCGTACGATGCCATCTTGATACTAGAATGATAGCTATTATTATTAGAAAATTAAATGAGAGGTATGTGATCATCCCAGTTACTTTTAACATCATGGACATATCCTCA